GGTTAAGTGAGTTTTGCCCCATTTTCTTGCAACGTTTGTTAAGGGAATCACTGCAGGTGTTAAGTTAGCAACATCGTTGTTAAGTGACTCTGGCTTTGCTCGTGAGAAGGTCACAAAAGGGGATCACATAACCCTGGGACACGCAAGGGTCATAAATATGAGTCAGTTTGTCAAGTTTGTAAATCACGTGACCATGGCGGATGCTGCAACGGTCATAAGTGTGAAAAATGGTCATAAGTCACTTTTTTCAGTGTTGTCGTGACCTTGAACGATACTGTTTCAACAGCTGTTGTTAAGTCGAGGACTACCTGTAGAGATTGGTCAAGATACAACGTTTACTATTAGGCACATATATTGTGGTTGGGCTCCTTCAAATTCAGGCCACCCAGAGTGCATTTATATTTAAAGAATATCTCACCCCCCAGAATGAATTCTCACTGCACTACAGTCATATAGGGATTCTGATCAATTTTAATCCTACATTTTCTGTACTCACAGTGCCATAATATTCAATACTAGAAGTACTATGAAAATGGCTATTCAAAGATTCTCCTGGAAGATAATTTTTAAAAAACACCCCCCGCCAAAAAATATAGATATTTATATCCAGGTGCAAATCATCTTCAATCGACAAAACCTTTCCCCTAATCTGCACATTGATAAGAATAGAAGAGTGGATTTATACTTGGTAGTACAAAGAAATGGAGAGGAAACATGTTTTGCAAGTTTAGGTGGTCAAATATTTTAAAGAGGAAGAAAGTTTCAATGTTGCAAATAATTTCTATAATTCTGCCTCCAGATTTTGGGCACTCAATCTATACAGGGAATGCCAACCTATCATATATACATAATTTTTTTTCTGCACTGCAATCTTGATTTCACGGGGGATGCATTCCACTGCATTTTACATCCCAGAATAATAATGATAATAATAAATGCAATGATTGTGCCCACATGCCCTATAATACCAAACAAATACACTGGGATATTCATTTATGAAACAACCTCGATCATTGCATGCGCTTAGAAGCTGATGTGTTCCTGTAACACAATAAGCCATAAACTTTTCAATTTTAGCCTCATCGTGGGGACCTGGTCCTTGTCTCCCCTCCAGAAATGAGCCTCCCCAGAGTTGTGATCACATAACAGGAAATTAGCCTCTTTTTTTTTTTTTTTTTTTTGCAAAAAGTGATTTTACGCAGAGGCCAATTTGCATACATTTACATTGAACTTTAAAAAAAAATTAAAAAGGGAAACAAGAAAGTTGCAAACAGTTCCAACGTTTTGCTCAGATCCCTCATAGGCATCGGATGGGATCTGATAGGATCAACTGCTTCGGAGGGCTCTGGCAGCAGGATTCGAACAGTGAAACAAGGCTATGCCTCCCCTCCATTCTGAAACTAGAGGAGGATTGCAACATCCCCAAAAAGGCTCTCGTGCCATTATGAGACAGGACCTGGGTCTTTTTCAGTGCTGCTCTCCAAGAAACTCTTTGTCCAGTCAATTAAGAATGCACAAAGGTCTGGTTGCATAAAGGAGCAGGCCTTCTGCAATTCTTCCAACCGTCCCATCCTCCCCCTTTTTTTGTTTTGGTTTATATATTTTGCTCAAACTTAAGAAGTAGCACAATGTCTTGGGGGTGGGGGCAGGGGAACAGAAGCTATTTTATCCCGCTGTTACGCCAGGGATAATGCATATCAAATGGATTGAAATGAAGGATCCCTGGGTCCTTAACTCTAAATGCTTTTATTGATTTTTCAGAAGCATTCATCACAAGGAGCTCGGAGGCCCATCCATCGTGATCCCAGGAGTGACAAAACAAAACCCAAATCCTCAAGAGAGGCTCTTGAGACCAATACAAAAAAAAAAACAAAAACAAAAAAAAACCAAGAAGGTTTTTTTTCATTCTGTTCAAATCGAGTTTGCAATAGACTTGAGACCATCGTGCATGGCAAATCGCAAATACACACACACACACACACACACACACACACACACACACCCCTTGCTAATATATATATATATATATATGAACATCAAGAATGACATCAAGAATGACTACTAGCCGGTTCACAAACCATGAATCCAATGAGTTGTAAAAATAGCTAATTGGGGAAGAAACTTGCAAAAAGGCAACCAGGAAGAAGCCAAAGATTGAAGGCAAACTTTCTCTTCCATACAGTATTTATTCCTGCCCCACCCCACGTAAAAGCAGCACTTTTGATTTAGCTAATAAACGCTACCGTACAATGTTCTGCCTGTTTATTGTCCAGACATTTGCAAGGATCTGACTCTGAAATGATCCTTTTTTTTTTTTGGAGGGCTGCTCAAAAGGGGAAGGAACCCCCCAAGAGGTTTACTTTAAACCCCTGATTTCAAATCTCACTGCTGTCTTCTGAGATTGCATTCAGGAGAACCCAAATTTGCAGGAAATTATTATTCACACGAGAGAAGAAATGAAGGGGGGGGGGAAGGATGAGAAAATAAGGACAGCTAGAAGGCTGAAATGGGATCATAGCATCAACCGCCCCTGACTTCACTTTCAACATTTTATTTTTATTTATTTATTTATTTTGTCAAGTACGTATTAGGTAACAGATATAGGAATAAACATGGTTATTAATATATGAAATGGATACGAATAAAAGGGGGATATTAGGGCAGGGACGGTAGGCACTTACAGACCTCTTAGGAATGGGATGAAGTCAACAGTAGACAGTCTAAGGTTAAAGTTTTGGGGGTTTTGGGAAGAAACCACAGAGTTGGTTTCTCTGTTGCTGAAGTCCTATTTTCTGCAATCGAGTTTGGAGCTGTTTATCTTAAGTTTGTATCTATTGTAACATGGTGGAAGTGAACCCAAATTTGCAGGAAATTATTATTCACACGAGAGAAGAGAAGAAATGTAGAAGAAGAAGAAGAAAAAGGATGGAGAAATAAGGATGAGTAGAAGGCTGAAAATGGGATCAGAGCATCAACTGACTTCACTTTCAACACGGTGAGGTTGTATCTGGGAGAGGAAGGGGCTATAAGAACAGAAACTTTCTGCAGAAGGACAGAAGGGGCTCAGACAGAACCAGAGGCCACAAAGCAAGACACAGAGGGGGAAATACCTGAACCTCAATTCATCATTTGGGTTTTTATTTTATTTTTTTTTCTCCAAGGTTTTTTTTTTTTATAGCCGGTCAGCTTTTGTTCACTTTTTGCCTTTGTGAAATCTAGACCCCCTTTGAAGTCACAAAAGCAGATACGCCGCCATGGACTTCAAAAGCAGAAAAGCTTTCAGCCCTTGGAAAGTCAAAATTTCTTTCGTACCCAATTCCCATAATAGAAACTATTATTAAAAAGTAGAGGGGGAAGGCAGGAAAAAAGCAGCGTGAACTGGGGCCCAGGCTTTTCAATCCATTGTGGAACAGAGCTGGGCTCATCTTCCAGAGTCTAGCAAAAAAAAAGTATTGTCTGAACTAAGGCTGAAGCCAGCCTGAAAGAAACTTTTAAACTCCTGGCTGCTGTCAGCCTTTGCCATTTAAAAATCAGAACCTTAGGATCTCTTAACAGGGAAGGAAGGGAAGGGACTGGCGAAGAGAAATACACCGAATAATTATAATTAAAACCTCTCAGGTTGTAGCAAGGCTGCTGAATTTCAAAAGAGAAGCCAGCAGTTCCCCACGCGAGTGATTTGTGCCTGTTCAAAGCAAAACTTTACTGAAGGGGGGGGAAGCACCAGGAAGGACCAAGGAAGCAACCGGGGAAAGCAGAGGGACAACTCCAATGGAGAAAGGGATGGGGGTGGAAGTGGGGGGCTGTTTCCAGCTCAAATGATTTGGGGCAATGTTTATTCTCAGCAGAGCAGGCAGCGGCACAAAGTTAGTTTATTTATTGAGCATATGGCAGCGGCACGAAGGAAATAAATGAAAACCCCGAAGGGCAAAAGATGCGGATGCGAGGAGGAACAGGATGGACTCGGGAATGGAGGCAGAGCAGGAAAGGACTGCCTTGGGCAGCTCTTTTTTATTTATTTATTTATTTATATGCCGCCCTTCTCTGGAGACTCAGGGCGGCTTACAAGGCGTTAAGCAATACCCTTCATACTTTTGTATATTTTATACAAAGTCAGCTTATTGCCCCCATAATCTGGGTCCTCAATTTACCCACCTTAGAAAGGATGGAAGGCTGAGTCAACCTTGAGCCTGGTGAGAATTGAACTCGCAGTAATTGCAGGCACCTGGAAGCTAAATACTACCTTTAACACTAGCATTAGTCTGCTGCGCCACTCAGGCTCTCCAGCCCTCTGCGGGGTGGCCGGGTGAATAATTAGGCTTTGGACCGGGTGGATCGGGTGGAAGGAAGGAATCTTCCTCCTGGCTTGGCTAATTGGATCCATTTTTACTAACCACGCAACCTTTCTCCCAAATTTCATCCCGCTCCTCTCCTCTCCTCTCCTCTCCTCTCCTCTCCTCTCCTCTCGAGGATTTCCCACTTTCATCCCATCCCAAGCAAGTTGGGAAAGGCCGGCCGGGATGGGGGCTCCCTAGGTGGCTCAGTGGCTCAAGACGCTGAGCTTGTCGATCAGAAAGTACGGCGGTTCGAATCCCTACTATAGGTCTACTGCGTGAGCAAGGGGGTTGGACTAGATGACCTCCAAGGTCCCTTCCAACTCTGTTACTGTTACTTCGAGAGGGATCGAGTCTGCTCGGGGATGGGAAACTAATTTTCCTGCCATCAGAACCGAAGGAGCTCCTTGGATGAGAAGCGAAACGTCTTCAAGCAAAACACACACACACATACCCCCCCAAAAAGAGCCCAGTTGCCTTTGGAGACAAAAGCACATTTTGGGGGAGGGGGATATCTATTTCCAACCAGCAGCTGCGATGGAGACGGGGCGGAGGGGCGAAGGGGCTCCAAGCGAGCGCAGCGCAGGGATCCAAGCGGGGCCGCGGGCGGAGGGCAGCGGCGCAGGTGGAGCGCCACCTCCTTGAACCCCGAGACGGACCCCCTCTTACCTGTACCAGAGCAGCCCCTTCTCGTAGCAGCGGTCGAAGAAGTGCGGCTCTGCCCCGACGGCTCGCACGTCCGGGTGGACGCGCAGGAACTCGAGCAGTGCGCGAGTCCCGCCCTTCTTCACGCCGACGATGATGGCCTGCGGGAACTTCTTCTGGCCGAAGCCGCTGGCTACGGGCAGAGCCCCGGCCGGAGCATCGGGGAGCGAGGGGTCCTCCTCGGGGCCGGCGGCGGCTTCGTCTTCCTCCTCCTCTTCTTCCTCCCCGGGGGGCTCGGGAGGGCTGTGGGGGAAGAGAGGCGCCCGGGGGGCCGGGCGGGCTTGGGGGTGCCACCCGGGCGGGCCTGGGCGTCGGAGGGGCTGGCAGGGGCCGGTCAGGCAGTAGAAGAAGTAGGTGCAGAGCAGCAGCATGGCCAGGGCGAGCGGGGCGCGCGGAAGCCCCCCCAGAGGCCCGCCGCGGCTACATCCCATGGGCGGTGGGCGCCCCCGGGCAAGGCGAGGGCATCGCTCCTCCGGAGGGCGCGGACCGGGCAGGTCCCCTCGCCGCTCCCTAGGCAGCCGAGCCGGCCAGGTGTCTTCCCCCCCCGCGCTCCGGTCCTTGGTGCCCCGGGCGCCTTTCAGCGCCTCTGCTGCCCCCCAAGACCGGTCCTTCCTCCGGCGCCGCCCCCACTTGCCCTCCCGGCGCGGAGGCGGGAGCCCCGACCGGCTTCTTCTGCTTCTTCGCTCGCCAGCCCAGCATTCAAGACCAGGCGGGGCGGGGCGCGGCGAGGCGGGGCTGGAGAGACGCACCTTCCTGCCCCCGCGGCCGGGGTCCCGGGCCGGCTCCGGCTGGCCATCTGGCAGGCGCCCCGCTTTCCCACGGAGCTTCCCCTGGGAAGGCAGAGAGAGTCCCCCCTCCCCACGCCGGCGCCACCCCGGGGCACATGCCTTGGGGAGCAGCGCGGAGAGGAGGCTGCCATCCGAGGAGACGCGCAGCGGGGCTGCCCGGCTTCGTTTCAGTCTCCCCCCGCCCCCCAGCCGGGTGCAACCTCCTTCTCCTTCGAGGGTCTCCAGCCCAAGGCCGTGCGCTCCCAGGATGCGAGGATGGGGGCTTCTCCTGGGGAAAGGGGGCGGTGGTCGCGAGCGATCCTCTAAAGGCGGCGGGCAGTGCGCTGCACCCCTTCCCACACCCCGGGATGCGGGGATGGGGGCTTCTCCTGGGGAGGGGGGCGGTCGCGAGCGATCCCCTGCAAGGCGTTGGACGTGCGCTGCGCCCCTTCCCACCTCCCCGGATGCGGGGAAGGGGGCTTCTCCTTGGAAGGGGGGGGGAGGTCGCGAGCGATCCTCACCAAGGCGGCGGACGTGCGCTGCGCCCCTTCCCACCTCCCGGGATGCGGGGATGGGGGCTTCTCCTTGGAAGGGGGGGCGGTCGCGAGCGATCCTCAGCAAGGCGGCGGACGTGCGCTGCGCCCCTTCCCACCACCCGGCTCGATCCTCGACGGCCGCCGCTTTTGTTCACGCAGCCTCTCCCGAGAGGGGGAAAAATCTCCTCGTCTTTGGCGCTGATCGGAGTTGAAAAATTGACCTGCCCTTAAAATGACGTTGATCCATAAAGGTATCTTTTCTTCTAAAGAAAACCAGGAAAACCAACTGTCTTCTTCACACAACTTGCAAACCTTCGACCCCATTTATTTTTTTAGCACGATTGCGGAGTTCGCATAATGTGCACGACCCAAATGGAGCCCAGAGGTTGAGCTAGATGATGGATGGATGGATGGATGGATGGATGGATGGATGGATGGATAGATAGATAGATAGATAGATAGATAGATAGATAGATAGATAGATAATAGAATTCTTTATTGGCCAAGCGTGATTGGACACACAAGGAATTTGTCTTTGGTGCATATGGTCTCAGTGTACATAAAAGAAAAGATACATTTGTCTTGACAAATGTATCTTTTCTTTTATGTACACTAAGACCATATGATTCTTGAATCATAAACACTTAATGTTATAGGGTACAAATAAGCAATCAAATCATACTAGGAAACAATATCAATATAAATCATAAGGATACAAGCAACAAAGTTGCAGTCATACAGTCATAAGTGGGAGGAGATGGGTGATAGGAACGATGAGAAGATTAATAATAGAGCAGACTTAGTAAATAGTTTGACAGTGTTGAGGGAATTATTTGTTTAGCAGAGTGATGGCGTTCGGGGAAAAAAACTGTTCTTGTGTCTAGTTGTTCTGGTGTGCAGTGCTCTATAGCGTCGTTTTGAGGGTAGGAGTTGAAACAGTTTATGTCCAGGATGTGAAGGGTCTGTAGATATTTTCACAGCTCTCTTTTTGACTCATGCAGTATACGTCCTCCATGGAAGGCAGGTTGGTAGCCATTGTTTTTTCTGCAGTTCTAATGATCCTCTGAAGTCCGTGTCTGTCTTGTTGGGTTGCAGAGCCAAACCAAATTAAGGACTCTGTCCCAGAATCTTATGGCCTGCTGTTGTGCTGAGCTACTTTTGATAGATTTCTTCATATTCTTTGTGGTGTGATTCCCTCACTTATGTGGCTGCTCCCTTTCCTGCTTCACAATTAATTTGTTTTTAAAAAACTAATTTCACTTGTCTAGAAAACGTCAATTCTTGTGCCGGCTTCAAAGTTAATGAAGGTGAGAAGCAGACAAAGGAGGTGGGTGTGTATATAGTTATACACGTTGAAAGTATAATTCTGAAGATACTTATCGGATGAAAAAAAAAATCCCATTGCAGTCAGTGAACACAAGTTAATATTCACGGACACGCAAAGCGTTTCTTAAGAATTAACATTCAATTTATACACTTGCATCAGATATTAAGATGGGAGAAGATTATGACGTCATTGCAGTTTGGCCTATAGACTTTGGAAATGAGAGTGTTATGATGCAATTGCTAAAAAGCTTCTATTCTTGAGTAGCATAAGGCCAAATTCAGCCAAATAATTGTCCCATTGCTTCTTTCCTGCTAGTCAAACTGCAGCTGGAATATTTGCTCTGTTGTGAGCCCCACATTTAAAAGGCAAGCCCCTCAAACCTGGGACACTTCCTGGGGGGAGGAGGAGGAAGAGGGGAGGGTAAAACCCGGAGAGCCCAGTCAGGCAGGGTTTGGTAGATCTGAGGCTAGGAAAGGAATAGCAATTAAATTCAATGTAGAGAAAAGTAAAGTCTTACACTTAGGCAAGAAAAACCACAAGTACACATATAGACTGGGTGAAACCAGGCTTAATAGCAGTAACTGTGAGAGGGATCTTGGCATCTTAGTGGACAACCAATGAAATATGAGCCAGCAGTGTGCAGCAGCAGCCAAAAAAGCCAATGCAATCCTGTGCTGCATTAACAGAGGGATACAATCAAGATCAAAGGAGGTACTAATACCACTCTGTAAAGCCTTAGTAAGACCACATCTAGAGTACTGTATCCAGTTTTGGTCACCACACTATAAAAAAGATGTTGACACTCTAGAAAGAGTGCAGAGAAGAGCAACCAGGATGATTATGGGACTGGAGGCTAAAACACACAATGAATGGTTGCAGGAACTGGGCATGGCTACTCTAGTGAAGAGAAGGACCAGAGGAGACAGGATAGCAGTCTTCCAACATTTGAGAGGCTGCCACAGAGAGGAGGGGGTCAACCTATTTTCCAAAGCACCCGAAGGCCAGACAAGGAATCATGGATGGAAACTGAACAAGGAGAAGTTCAACCTGGAAATAGGGAGAAATTTTCTGATAGTGAGAGCAAACCCAAAACCTGCAGCCCTTCTTCGTACGGTTTAGCCTCCAGGCCTTTGATCATCTTAGTTGCTCTTCTCTGAACTTTTTCCAAAGTCTCAACTTCTTTTTTATAGTGTGATGACCAAAATTGGTTGCAGTATTCCAGGTGTGGTCTTACTAGGGTTTTATAAAGCGGTGCTAATACTTCATGTGATCTTGATTCTATGTGTATACAACCCAGGATTGAATAAATGGAAATACTGTTGTTCATTGTGGGTAAGGTTATATTATGAATCTGTCAAGAAGAAGTCAGATTGGAGGTGGAGAATCAGTGCCTGGATTCTCCTCGGACAACAAAGGGGCACAAGAAAGAGATATTTTTCAGTTGCTGTGACTTTCACTTGTCCCTTCACTTGTCCCTTCACTTGTCCACTGTAAGGATGCAGCAGCTACTGGTTCTCATTTGATGGCGACGGAGGTAATTTTGCTGTTTTTAATCAATATATGAAGCAAAACTCACTTGCCAATTACAGTTGAAAGTTGAACGCTCAACTATCTGAACTTCCCAGTCCTCTGAGTTGGTTGCTTCTTTTTATAAAAAGCAAGTTTATTGGAACAACGTCTGTGCAAAAGACTGCATATAATTATATTGATATTGTTTCCTGATTGCTTATTTGTTCCCTATGACAAGTGTTTCTCAACCTTGGTAGCTGGAAGATGGGTGGACTTCAACTCCCAGAATCCCCCAGCCAGCAGCGCTGGCTGGGGGATTCTGGGAGTTGAAGTCCACCCATCTTCCAGCTACCAAGGTTGAGAAACACTGCCTATGACTATCATTAAGTGTTATACCTTATGATTCTTGATGAACATATCTTTTCTTTTATGTACACTGAGAGCGTATGCACCAAAGACAAATTTCTTGTGTGTCCAATCACACTTGGCCAATAAAGAATTCTATTCTATTCTATTCTATTCTATTCTATTCTATTCTATTCTATTCTATTCTATTCTATTCTATTCTATTCTATTCTATTCTATTCTATTCTATTCATATTTATCAAAACAATGCAGACAAATGCATTACTTTAGGAAAAATTGATGGGAAAACTGTCAATGGAGCAAACTGACAATCAAAAGACATAGAATTGAAGGTGCCACAACACCAATTAATGAATGGAAAAACGAGGAAAAAAAAAACAAATGAAATGGAAACAGATGCTTTTAGCTTTTTCATCTACCTCGCCTCCCCTCCAAGGTTCACCCAAGTCTTACCAAATACTTTTCACAGAAATACGGTATAGTAACAAAGAAAAGTATTACAACATCTCAGAATCTACAGCAATGCTTTCAACAGTCTTGGAAGAAAACAGAATAAAGGGTTTGATTTCTGCATTTCTGAGACATCTGGGAAAAGTGGAGGAGAAAGGAGAAAGAAAAAAAAAAGGAGAAATGAGAGGAAGAGAAAGAGGAGGAGGAGGAGATAAAGAAGGAGGAGAAGAAGAAGCAGAAGGAGGAGGAGGAGGAGGAGGAGGAGGAGGAGGAGGAGGAGGAGGAGAAGAAGAAGAAGAAGAAGAAGAAGAAGAAGAAGAAGAAGAAGAAGAAGAAGAAGAAGAAGAAGAAGAAGAAGAAGAAGGAAGAGGAGGAGGAGGAGGAGGAGGGCAGGAGGAGGAGAAAGAAAAAAGGAAAAATGAGAGGAAGAGAAGGAGGAGGAGGACGAAAAGAAGAAGAAGAGGAGGGGGGAGGAGGAAGTAACACTATAAGAATAAAAGTGTCACCATGCCAAAAATAAACACACCATCTGTGAGTAAACTTAAAAGTTATACAAAAGTTTGAATCAGCCAAGGGAGATCTTCTTTTTTTCCCATGGCAAAAGCAACAAAACAAATGTGGTGTTTTGATGAGGTATATACTGTATGTTTGTAATTTATAATCTCCCTTGAACTTTCAAGATACTGGCAGGATACAAATCAAAGGCAAATGCGCAAATGTGTCTCTGCCAGGTTTTTTTTCAATATATATATATATGACTTTCCTGTCCCCAACCCCGGACTGGAATTAAAGAAAGATCAAACAGTATTTGGGAACGGAAGTGGTAGGTTAAGTGAGTGGGAGGAGAGGAGATGATATTTGACAGCACACATTCAATTAATATTTTTGCAACTGAATTTCCTCTCCCCTGTAATTTTGCAAGCCTTAATTACTGTTTGCCAACATTTCTATCATGAGAAGGGATTTGCAGGGAAAACTCACTTCTTTTCTGTTGGATTTTTAAAATAAAAAAGGGAAACATGTTATAAATAAACAGCAATTAGTTTGGTGATAGCCACATGCCAAGCAATTAACACTTGCAATTGTCAATTTTAATTAAAGAACTACAGATTTTTATGTAAGTGAGTTGTTATGTGCCCATGTTCACGAAGAACATCGATATATGTTGTTTCTTTCTCTTAACTTCATCAGACAGAAATGAAGTTTAGAAAGATGTCCTGGTTCACACAACATGTTAATCCATAATGTTTTTTAAATGCAGTTTGTTAAGCAAGCCATAATTGGCTGCATTCAAACGTTGTGCTGAAGTATGAATCATAGTTTGCAAATCCAGGGGGGCTGTAACATAGAACCCAGCCAAGAAATCTTGATTATCAGGAATAATTTTACACCTAGTTGGAGAATAATTAGCAAACCAGGACAAAACCCTTTGCAAAGTATTCCTCTATAAACCTCAAACACTCATGAGAGGACGAACTAGCTCATATGACTGCAAGGAACATACCATATTTTTCAGAGTATAAGATGCACCTTTCCCCCCCCCAAAAGGGGGTGAAAATTTAGGTGCGTCTTGTACACCGAATGTAGCCCTGCCCACCCACTGGCCCCCACCCTTTGGCCTCTGCCTCACAGCAGTTACCTCCTTGCAAGCAAACAGCAAGAAAAAATAGCTCCTTTCAGCTTCAGCACAGACTAATTAGCACAAGTTGATTGGAGTGGCCTCCCGACTCTCAGCTGATTTGCTCTCAGCTGTTTTGTGCAGGGCTCTGCTGCTTTCTGCAAAGAGGTAAATTGCTGGAGCAGATTTTTTTCTCCCTTGTGCTAATCAAGCTATGCTGAAAACGAAAATGAAAGTAAAGCAGGCTGTTTGCTGTTTGCTGCAACGAGGCAAAATTGCTCAGAGGCAGAGGCAAATTTCTTTTTCTTCTTTTCCTCACCAAAAAAGGTAGCTGTGTCTTATACTCCGAAAAATACGGTAAATCCTTCCATTCTCCACCATTCAGTCAGCACTGAAGAAGCTTGTTGGATGAGAAGCAAAACGTCTTCAAGCAAAACAAGTTGCCTTTTGAAAGAAAGCATCTTTGGGACTATAGTGGCTATATATTCCAAAAAACCCCTCTTAAACATGATTTCTGAATTAAACCATTTTGAAGAGTGTCCATAAAATAGGGCAAGCTAAGAAAAAAAATAAGGATAAGAATGAATGGAGATAGCACGTTGACTGAAAGCACCCAGGGAGTCACTTGGTGCCTCCCCTACAAGCTAAATTCTAAGCCCCTCCAATAAAATATCATACCCAAGAAATATATAGTATGTCACAGTGAAATCCTACCGGTTCGCACCGGTTCGAGCGAACCGGTAGTGATAAAATCTACCGATTCGGCGAACCGGTAGTAAAAAAAAAGCTACAAGTTGGTCCGAACTGGTATTTCTGACAATCAGCTGTGCCGTGTGATTTATATTCGCTAGAAAGTAGGAAATCCTGCTTTCTAGGGAATCTAAATGGCGTGGCACAGCTGTTCCCCCCTCGCTGTTCTATTTATCTTCAAATGGATCCTATTTATTTATTTATTTATTTATTTATTTATTTATTTATTTATTTATTTATTTATTTATTTATTGGTTCGATTTATATGCCGCCCTTCTCTGGAGGCTCAGGGTGGCTTACAATGCGTTAAGCAATAGCCTTCATACTTTTGTATATACCTGCTTAGTAGGGCTTTCGGCCCCCCCTAAGCGGTGTTCTTTTTTATACAAAGACAACTTATTGCCCCCACAATCCGGGTCCTCATTTTACCTACTTCAGAAGGATGGAAGGCTGAGTCAACCTTGAGCCTGGTGAGATTTGAACTCGCAATAATTGCAGGTAGCTGGCAGCTAAGTGCTACTTAACAGCACTTTAGTCCGCTGCGCCACCAAGGCTTCTCTTTTTCCTCATGAAGAGTGTGTATTGTGAGCACTATGCGTGCATGCACGCAGTGCATGTTTGGTGCGCACTGCACATGCATGTGCAGTGCACATTTGGTGCACACTGTGCACGCACACAGTGTGTTGTGGTCTGCCAGCTACCTGCATGGATTGTGGCTGATCCCGACAACGAGGAGGCTGGTGTGGTGTCGCGCCAGCAGCCTGTGCAGCCGGCGCTCGAGTCAGACAGCGAGGAGGCTGAAGAGGATGTGGTGCCAGAGGCAGAGACTCAGCCAGGGCCTTCAGAACCTCCAGAGGCTCCTTCAAGTGGAGAGAGTGAAGTGGAGGAGCCTCTTATTGCTCGAGCATGCAGGGCTGCCAAAAGGCAGGAGTGGCTACTCAGGAGAATGTCTCCTTGAGAGTAAGGCTTGGGGCTAATTGGCCACTCCCTTAGCCTATTTAAGTTCACTCACAGATAGCACACTCTGCCGGAAACAACGTTTAATTACTACGCAGAGCATTTTGAGAGTGAGTTTCTTGTTATATCTTGGTTTCTGGGCTGGTTGCCAACCCTTGTCGGACTTTGTTTATTCTCTATAATTCACAGCAAGCTGATAAGGACATTTGCACTGGAAGCCTGCATTTTGGAAGGGGTCTGTTTGTATTAAACGGAGTTTTTGGAGCTTTGTGTGTGTCACACTCCTTGGGATCCAGAGCTGGGGCAGAACACAGTGCATGTTTGGTGCACACTGTGCATGTGTGTGCAATGCACATTCGGTTCACACTGCACATGCATACCCAGTGCACATTTGGTGCGCACTACACATGCATGCACAGTGCATGTTTGGCTATCACTGCACATGTGTGCACAGTGCACATTTGGCTCATACTGCACATGCACGCACACAGTTTGCGCACAGCATGCGTCTAGCACGCACTGCTCAAACTGGTGGCAACCCATGGAGGATTTCATTGCTGGTATGTCAGCTTGGTATGCTAGCCAGTTTGATATTACAGGCTTGGATAATTGCTCAACCACAAAACGGCGAAAACTGCTTTAACATAGATTAGCAGGAGGTAGCATCTATCTAAAAAGTTTTATAGAGCCAGCCCTTGTGAGTACTTGGATGGGAGAGCACTAGAAAACTCCAGACTAAATGTCTGGCTAGATTACTCTAGGAACATCTTGGAAGAAGATTGATAAAGTCGCTTCCATCCTGTTTGCCAAAGAAAAAAAAAGCTTGTGAGCTGCCCAGAATCGACTTGTAATGAGATGGACATCAATCAATCAATCAATCATCCTTATGTGGAAACATAAGGAAGCATATTATTTATTTATTTTATACCATTTTTTTCCCATGTACGACTCAAGGTAATAATGGTTACATGAATTGGGTATATCTAGACTAGTGAAAAGAAGGACTAGGACATGATAGCAGTATTCTATTATTTGAGGGGCTCCTACAAAGATGAGGTGATCAGACCGTTTTTCAAAGCAGCAAAAGGCCAGATGAGAAGCAATGGATGGAAACTTAAGCAAGGAGAGAAGCAGCCTAGAACAAAGGAGAAACTTCCTAACGGTGAGGACAATTAACCAGTGGGACAGCTCGCCTTCAGAAGTTGTGGGTGATCCATCACTGGAGGCTTTAAGAAGAAACTGGATAGCCACTTGTCTGGGATGGTAGAGGATCTTCTGGTCGAGCAGGGGGTTTTTGCTCGAGCAAGAAGACCTCCAAATTCCCTTCCAACTCTATTATTCTAGGTTCTATTATGAGCACACCTAATACTCCTTCCTCATCCTCTTTTCCCCACAACACCAGTGAGGTGAGTTGGACTGAAAGAGAGGGAATGCCACCTACCTTCAAGTACTGTTCTTTTTCCATTGACAGGTCCCTGTGGCCTCCATGAGGTTGCTCCAGTTCGCATAAGACCTTCGTTCTTGAAGCAGCTTCAGTTAACTTTTCTACAGCCTCTGCAACAGAGGTGGTATTCAGCCAGTTCACACCGGTTCGCACGAACCGTTGGCGAAAATTTGGCCAAGGTCGCCGAACTGGTAGTGATGGCTGGCTGGCCACGCCCCCGAACTGGTCCCCTGGTCGCAGTGCACTTGCCCCGCCCACCGTTCGTCATTGCCATGTTCTTCGCGCACACGGATCCCTTTACCTTGCAAGTCCAATAGGATGCGCATGCGCGAAGAACATGACAGTGATGGCAGCAGCTTTTTTCGCAACCTCTGGTACTTCTCGGTGGCCTGGGTGGCTTCTTTGCCAGCCGCTTTCCAGCAGCAGCGGCTGGTTGGGGGCTGCTGAAAACTCCAGTCAGCTTGCCTTCCAGACTCTGGACCAGCCGCCGTGGAAGGTAAGCAGCCCGAACAAAGAGATGGTAGTGGGGGAGGAAGTGGGGCTAGGGCGGGGGCAGCTAAAGGAGGGGAAATGGGGGTGACTGGCGAAGGGATATGCCCACCGAACTAGTAGCGAAAATTTTTGAAACCCATCACTGCTCTGCAGCCTTCAAAAGCCACATGAGAACAGGGCTTGCTTCCCAGAATAGTTCTTGTCGGATGTCGGTGAACACTGGTGTGTCAACCAAAATGTTACGGCACGTCACCTTTGGCACCTATGACATAGGTTTGTCATCACTGGACTAGAAGTTACTGTTTCCTAGTTTCTAGGCCAGCATCTTTACCACAACATCACACTGGCTCTAATAAATATTATTATTTTATTTATTTACACAGCCAGATGTTCAGACTGGATTTGGCATTTTTGTCCACCTATCAAGTCCTTTCCAAGGACCTGGGACAGGCAGATGTGGATGTTTTGAGTTGTTAGAAATATCGTCGCAAGATGTAAGCTGTTCCGAGTAATGCTGCTTTCAGCAATTGACTGAGGCTGAATTTGTCAAAAAATTTTTATTTTTTATTTTACTTCAAATTTATATACCACCTTTCTCCCTAGGGACTCAGGGCGGTGTACAGCCAAGTAAAAACACATAAATACATAAAAACACATTAAATACATAATACATAGATTAAGAACAGATTAAAAGGAAATATCTCAATTTGGCCCAAAATTTAAAAAGACAAACGAATTTAAAATCATTTAAAATCATTTAAAAGGATTTGTTAGGCCAGCCCGGCTTGTTGAAAAAGGAAAGTTTTAAGGGAACGGCGGAAGGCACGAAGGTCTTGGATTCTCCTTATCTCTGGGCACAGTTGATTCCAGAGGGTGGGAGCCCCCACAGAGAAGGCCCTGGGGGTCAATGCCAATGATGTTCAAATGGTGCTCCAGTTGTTTTGGGATTGCACCCAAGGTAATTACCATATTTTTTGGAGTATAAGATGCATCCTTTTCCCCCAAAAAAGAGGGTGAAAATCTGGGTGCGTCTTATACTCCGAATGTAGCCCCACCCAGCTTCTCAAACGGAGGTTTCAGAGGCTGAAAAAAGCATCAGAAAAGAAGCTTCAGAAAAGAAGCCCCCAAACAGAGCTTCAGAGGCTTTTTTTCTGAAGCTCTGTTTTGGAGGCTTTCAGAGGCAGGAAAAAAAGTTTTTTTCTGAAACAGAATTTCAGAAGTTTCATAGGCAGAAAATAAAGGCAAGGCACAGAACTCACAACCAAGGAACCTGTTGCTAAAATTCACCTCTGGGAACAGCTGATTGGGGGTATTCTGGGAGGCCAATCCACCTGCCAATCAGCTTTTTTCTTATTTTCTTCCCCAAAAACTAAGGTGCGTTTTATACTCTGAAAAATATGGTACTATTACCTTTATTTGCTTTTGCCACATTCGTTCTATTTCTATTTGTAGGTCTTTGTCTTTTGTTATCTTCCCCAGTTCTCTCTCTTCTATTCTGCTGTTTCCAGGCACTGCCACATCCACTATCCAGACTTTTTGTATTACTATTATTATAACAATTATTATGGTAGATCCCTCAGTCAACCAGACGTTTAGATGGGATTTGGCATTTTTGTCCAAATATAGAGGTCTTCACCTTTGCAAAGAGCCATGGAAAGATCCATGCCCGGCATCACAAGACAAGATAGAAAAGATCAGTATGTGGATTAGAGAACCAACGAAAGCATACAATATTGTCAAGAGAGTAAAAGAATGGAAATGGGCTGGTCGCCTGGCAAGAATTGACGGCAGGTGGATCAAGGTGGTCGTAGAATGGATCCCACTTGATAAAAAGTGTCCACAAAAGAGACCTAAAACAAGATGGATCAACAACATCAGCAAGTATTGCGGGTCCAATTGACAAAAGGAAGCTCAGGACCGCATGGGTTGGATCCTGCAGAGGATAGACACTGGCTAAAATGTTGGTGATGGTGATGATGATGATGATGATGATAAATGATGATGATAGAGTCCTTCTAAAGAATCTTGAGCTTGTCAGTTGAAAGGTTGGCAGTTCAGCGGTTTGAATCCCTAGTGCCGCATAACGCACTAGGTGAGCTCCTGTGACTTCTCCCAGCTTCTGCCAACCTAGCAGTTCGAAAGCAGGTAAAAAATGCAAGTAGAAAAATAGGGACCACGGAACAGCGTTCGTGCACCTTTGGCATTGAGTCATGACAGCCACATGACCATGGAGACATCTTCGGACACCGCTGGCTCTTCGGCTTTGAAACGGAGATGAGCACCGCCCCCTAGAGTCGGGAATGGCTAGCACATATGTGCGAGGGGAACCTTTACCTTTTTAAAGAACCTGGAATAGACAGATGCTGTTGTTTAATAAATTTAAAGGTATTATTGCAAGATGTTCCGATTATCATTAGTAAATACACAACAATGTGAAATCATAGCTGCCAGTTCTTTAGCTACTCTTAGCCTTCACATGCCTCAAGTTCTTCCCAAGAACTCAGGAAGTTTTAATGTATCAATGTAATATATGTGTGGATCCAAGCATGTGTCTTTTTGTAATTGACAGATGGAAATTTTTGCCACTGCACAGATTTTCTAAGCATCATCCAAGATTTTTTGGCATGGCACCCAGTATGTGGATAACTCCTGGAATCACCGTGGATGGTTTATGCCATAATATGTCAGGGTTGATTTTCAGATCTTGATACTTTATGATCTTCTCCAATTATTTATCTTCTATATTACTATCCCGTGGTACTTTTTCAAGTATATGTTCTCACCAGCTGGTCATTTGCATCCTTTTTGAGAGTCCTTGAAGCACTTGGATGTTTATCTGTGACTTCAGGGTCATCTGTGTAGTGCTAATGTTTCCTGTAGTCTGCATTTCAAGTGGCCTCAACAGCTTTCTAAAAGAATGCAAATGACCAGCTGTCTGTAAGGACTACTCCCACACCATTTGAAGGGTGCTCATCCCAAATTGTACAGCTAAAAACATGTACAGATGCTCAGTCATCCAGGTCATAAACATCCCAGTGCTTCAACGACCCTCAAAATGGATGCAAATGACCAGCTGTCTGCAAGGAATATAAATCCTTCCATTCCCCACCATCCAGTCAGGGGCTGAAGAAACTTCTTGGATGAGAAGCGAGACGCCTTCAAAGAAAAACCAGAAAGTCCAGTTGCCACTTGAAAAAAGAGTCCTTCGGGACAACCATGACCTGGATGACTGAAAATCTCCATTGACATTTATCTCCCATTTCCCATCCCTGGTCAGCCAATGAGCTTCAGGCAAGATGTTTTCATAAGTCCACGCATACTTTGGTATGCAGCTGATATGCTGGGTGACCTTGAAGCAGCATCTCGAGGAAATACAGCACTTACTTTCGTTTTCCCCTTTACATTCCTGCCCCTCCCCAGAGTTCATGGCAGTCTGTCACCGAATAGTAGCAAAGCACAAGCAAGCATGAGGTGGCAGCTGACATCGGCTACAGTTTCAATGATCAAACCTAGCAAAAGTGTTTATGGAGATTCTCAGTCATCCAAGTCATGGTTGTCCCAAAGGTGCTTTTTTTTCAAAAGGCAACTGGACTTTGCTTTTCCTTGAAGAATGGTGGAATTCCCCACCATTCAGTCAGAACTGAAGAAGCTTCTTAGATGAGAAGCGAAACGTCTTCAAGGAAAAACAAAGGAAGTCCAGTTGCCTCTTGAAAAAGCACCTTTAGGTTAGCAAAAGAGTGCCTAACCAGATAACGAAGGCCAAATCCAACCATTATTTGCTTGTTTAGAGAATATGTTGCAAGATCTGGCTCTTTTGCTTCTTCCATGACTCTCCACCCTTGCCAGAAAAGTCTTCCTTTCCCTGCTGCCAGGATTTTGATAAAGGCAACAATTCTGGTTCTGAGGATCTTAGTGTCAAGGGTTCCAAGTAATATACCCATAGCAGTGGTGAAATCTAAAATTTGTTACTACCGGTTCTGTGGACGTGGCTTGGTGGGGGGTGGTGGTGGTAATGTGACTGGGTGGGTGTGGCCAATTTTTTTTTTTTTACTTTTAAAACCATTTTTTCTACAACCACTTGGGCGAAGAGGTTGTAAAAAATGCTTTCAAAAGGCTCTGACGATCCCAGCTGAGTTGCCTGATCGGCAGAGGCTTTTTTCCTTTTAAATGCCTCTGACGATCAGGCAACTCAGCTTGGATCGTCAGAGGCTTTTAAAAGAAAAAAAGGGATTTTTTTCTTTTAAATGCCTCTGACGATCCAAGCTGAGTTGCCTGATCAGCAGAGGCTTTTTTTCTTTTAAAAGCCTTTGACGATCCCAGCTGAGCCGCACGATCATCAGAGGCTTTTTTTTTTACTTTTAAAAGCATTTTTTCAGCCAAAGAGGTTGTAGAAAAAATGCTTTTAAAAGTAAAAAAAAGCCTCTGATGATTGTGCGGCTCAACTGGGAATGGGGGGGGCAGGGAATTTTGCTACCGGTTCTCCGAATCACCCGCCTCCATCGCTACCAGATCGGGCGATCCGGTCTGAACCGGGAGCATTTCACCCCTAACCCATAGCAAACTGAACTCCAAGGCAGGTAGATTCCTTAAAGAACCGTTTTATTGGATACATCATATTGGCACAAACTGGTGGAAATCGACTCTTAACGGTTCCAGTGGTTTAACCTAATTAAAAGTAAAAGTATCAGTCACATGGTCCAATCAACATGCTGTCTGGTTGCTTGGCAACTTCACTCCTCCTCTCTTCAGCCACCTGTGAGTATGTCCTTGGTTCCCAGAGGAAACCATTTTGTTTTGGCTATGAACCCTCCCACCAGCTATCTCTATTCGCCCC